CTCTGGAGAAATCTTTGAGATTTCTCCTGTTTCTACATATGGGATCCAGAGCTCGTCCCTAGACCCCATTAAGACACAAGCAAACAATCTAGCTCTTTGTTTCAGTTGTTGGTGGTGGTTATCATCTTGTGACTCTTGATAGATCATTTTGATTAAATAATTCAAAAATATTAGTTCCTTATCTAGTTGGAATTCTTCTGTGGCAATCACATATATTAAGTATAGGTAAAAACCAAAAACAGGAAAGGCTGTTGATAACCAAACAATAAACAACAAAATCTTGACAATCAGTTGAACAATAAAACATGTAGCTATAAACGTCCTATGCATATATCAAGAAAATGATCCTGGGGAGAAGGGAATAACCCAGTCTCTGCTCGCATGGTGGGCTTATGTTGCTTTAGCTTTACATGCAATTAGCTCTCTCTTTATTAGATCCTATTAATTTCTATGTCTTAGAGGAGCAGGGTACACAAATATCCTAAGTGACGTTTAGCTGCTTCCAATTTAGCTCGGAGCCCTTTTGCAGTGTGTAAATGTCACTATCTTATGCATGGTACTTGAGAAAGCTTCCTGGGCGTAGCAGCACTACGGTGATTCAGTGCATCCTGCCTCTGGATTTGCTTCAGTATGGCCAGGACCTTTGCGGTGATAAGTACGTGGCACACTTCTCAGAGCTTCTCCATGACTGAAACTTGGTTTGGATTTGGCGTCACCCAATCTCCAGGGCCATTCCTCCAGAGTCACATGAGTCTTTGGTATTTCTGTCTCCTAAGAGCTGGCATGACAAGCATACACTTGGCCTTAGCATGTGGTTATGTGAGATCACGGGCCCGGATGAGGACGAGGGGGTGAATTCTCTCAAGTTTCTGTAAGGATAAGTGCAGTGTGTCTTGGCTACGGGTGAAGGTTAATGGCCTTGGTGAAAGTCTGCCCCACACTGGGCTAAATGCATAGTCAAGAAAGGACTTAGAGCTCAGCCCTTGCTTCCTCGCTACTGAGGGGAGATTCAGAAGTGAGTGAATAAGTTCAGTGTTTGGTATTGGTGATTTGAAGGGACCTAGTAAATAATATCCTTCTTCCCCTCCTGAGACTGGAACATCAGAGAAATGGGTACAGAAGTCAGAATGATGGGGATAAAAAAATCATTGTTATGAATTAATTTTTATAAAACTACTGAACAGTGAACCTTAGGGGTTGTAGAGGCAGCTTCTGCCATAACCCAAGGATGCTCACCTCCTGGTATTCACATTCATGTGTACTCTGTGGGCAGACCAAGCCATTTGTTCTGCCCTATAGAATACAGCAAACATGATAGACAGTAGACTTCACTACCTCTGTGGCCATCTCCCTTGTTATCCTTGATGAATCAAGTTGCCATAAGGAGAAACTCCAATGGCAGGAAATGGAAGTCAGCCTCTGGACCACTGCCAGTAACAAAAAGTCTTAGGTCTACACCCAGCAGGAACTGATCCCATCAACAACTAGGTGACCTTGCAAATAGATCTTTCCCCAGCTGAGCCTTCAGATGAACACTCAGCTCTGGCTGACACCCAGAGTGCTACTATGAGGACCCAGCTTTTCTTGGTTAGTAAGACACTATAGAAAGATTATGACGCCTAGGGGCAGGTCACTGTTTCAACCTTGTGAAGGGTGGTGGTGGGTTGAAAGGAAAGAGATGGAAGGCATGGAGACAGATGGAGAGAGCAAGTACCTGCCAGTGAGAGTGGCCCTGAGGCCAAGGCAGAGAGGAAGTAGGAATGAGCCTGGGTGAGAGCTCTGAGGGAAGATCTGAAGACCAATTAGATATGGGAGGTGAAAATGAAGTTAGAATAAATTAATTTTCCCATGTGAGTGAATGTGTGTGTGAGAGGAGTGAAGCTCTTTTCTATTTGTAAAAAAAAAAAAATAAGTTTATTCAAAAACAAATATATCACATGCTAGTAATAAGGCTGATAATTTTCATGTGTTCACTTGTTTATTAACCAAAAGTTTTTTAGGGTAGGCATAGAATATTTGGGTGGGCATTAAAACATTCCAGAACATTAACGCACTGTTGGTAGTAAGGATAGTAGCAACCAGTTTTTCAGCATTTTCTATGTGCTAGGCATTGGGAAACTCTCCGAAAGCTATCTCATTAAACCCCACAACAACGCTGCTATCCTGTAAATTATTTTGCCAATCAGCACTTGGGAGAAGGAAAAAAAAATATCTGAGATTGGAACCTCGGTCAATGGCTTGACTGTGAAGCTGATGTTTTGCTCTTATAACCAATTTAAAGCCTTACTCAAGAGTGAATAATCTTCCCCTGCACTCACCCCAGGGCCGTTCCATCACTGCGGATAATGTGTACTTCCTGTGTCAGGATGGGAAGGGTTAAGGAAGGTAACTGATTCTGTGGGCAGCCGGTGCCAGTAATTTGTGGTATGGAATGTTGATGTGCTGAGAAAAAAAGATGTTCTAGCTGCCAGCATTTCTTGCATAGAAACAAAACTTCCATTCACATCCTGCTGAATTTTCAGGACCTAATTAGATGTGGGATCAAATATTACAGTTTCTTCACTCAACAAGAGCACAGATGAAGACTGAAAAAGATTGGGGATAGGGTTTGCAACGTTTTTTATTTTAAAAAATATAGATTTATTCAATGTTAATTTTTGATTTGTGTCCTTTCTTCATTTTCTGGATAATATGTGGCCTTTGAATAGCAGCTTGTGTTTTACCGGCACCCCCTCCCCATGGAATGCTAGTTGATCTTCCAATAATGTGAGATTGAGTGACTCAGAGGGTTGAGTGAGTTGTCAAATCTCACCCAGTTACTAAGAGTCAGGACCAAATTGTATACTTGACATTTCAATTTCAGGTTCAGTACTTTTTAAATTGTTCACCACACTTAGGAATTACGTTGGCCAAACAGTAATCAAAAGCACATTATATCAGTCTTTCATTTTTTGCTTATTTTTTACATATCAGTATAAAGAAAAGTGAACTTAATTCTATCCTGTTAAAAGAAGACTTTGGGTAAAGTGAAAGAAAGTTGAGCTTTTTTCCCCTTGACCTAGAAAAACTAAACAAAACACAAAACAGGAGACAGATTCATTTTTTTTTTAATAGTGGTAGAAAATTGATGTTATCCAGATAACCCAAGGATTTGCATAGAGTTTGCATTATTTCTGTGAAATGTTGTGGATGGCTAGGCTATTGAATTGAGTAATAACATTAGAATTTGGACTTTGAAATAAAGACAAACAGATAAGTCTTGGTGATATACACAGGCTGGCCTCTATTGCCTTAGATTTGCAGACAGGGCTTTCTGTGTCGTTCAGTTATTGAGGGTGCCAAATGTAGCCAGGAACTGTTTCAGCAATCATAGATGTTGTTTTTCCAATTGGGCCAATCTGCCAGACTGGCAGACAGAAAGCTAACAGAAATATTAAATATAGACAGCTTCTATAGTTGAACCTTGTTTTCCCTCTCTCTGCTGGAAGCCACTATAAAATAGTAGCCTGTATGTAGGTCATTAAAAGCCTACACAGATACACACAGTGTGATGTGTATTTGTACTGTTAAATTAGGTCTTTGTGGACTCAATAACTGGGCGCCAAAGCAGCTGTTGCGATGTATTAGGTGACCAGCAGGCCCCACTCAGGGTGTCTTAGCCAGACACTCTCTGTCACCCAGTGAAGGGTTCCATTCTTTGTGGACCCACACACCTTGGGGGAATCATTTCAGGGGAAGCACCATTCTTGAGTTTCCAACTTCTCACTCTTGAGGTCTCGTAAATTTGACGGATGTGTGCTTGGACAACCAACTGGAATCGCTGGTTTCGTTTCCAGGATTTGTTTCCTTCCCTGGCCAACAAAGAAGCATAAAAATATACAATTTGTCTCCTGGCCCTAAATGCAACAGAAGTGAGCTTGTCTACCTTCTATGGCCTCAGTTTAGGTAGCAAAAGAGCCTCACCTCAGGCAGGGAAATGACGACAGACCGACGGCGAATATCCGCGCCACTCCCGGAAGCCCTCGGCATCACAGGGCCTCGCTCTGGGCGCCATGTTTCTCCTTCCAGATGGATGTTCTTCTGTTGTCTCCTCAGCATTCTTATGACACATATATCTGCCTTCTTCTCTGTATATATTAGGAGGAAAAGACTTTAATAATAGGATATAAAGAGAACTTCGGTTTGGTAACATTGGTTAGTGTTCACTTGGAAAAATATCTTCCAAATAATTTCCCCTCATCAGTAGGAAGCATCAGAGTCCTGCCTCACGGCTGATTTGGGGTGACCTCCCCCTTCTACACCCATCTGTAAATCTGACAAATGAAATGATGTCATATTTGGAAATCTGTTCTTTATACACAGCTTGAGAAATAGCGTTGTTCAATATTAAAATAGACTTTAATATGCATTTTCTGTCTGGATTGGGATTTATAGCTTTTTTCCTCTGTTTTAAGGGTTTAGATTACCTGACACTTTGTCCAAAGCAATGAATGAATAAAAGGAGCAATAACCAATGTCATCGTCCATCTAGAACTTGTTACTGCTAAAAAGACTCTGCTAACAAAAAAATTCTGTCCATTTCCCCCTTCTGATACTAAGAGGAGGAGAGCAAGAAGGGTAGGAAGTTTGCATTCCTCTGCCCTAGAATAAAGAGCATGTATAATCATTTCTGGGTAATTATGTGTTGGCAATGTTTGCTAACTAGTTTTGTCTGACTTCTCAGCCTAGACGCCTCACCATTATATTTACATAGCAACACTCCTTATACCCAAAAGGTATTTGTGGTCTAGTTACATGGGAAGACTCCCATTCAATCTTGCTTGACATGGGAAATTCTCTCTGCACAACACATTCCTTTACCCTGCATGTGGACACTTGGCTTGATGGTTCATTACCATTTGGTACCTTTTGGAAATTACTTGTATTCATTTACTATAAAGGCTTAATAAATCACCACAAATTTGTGGCTTAAAACAGCATACGTTTATATTCTCTTGCAGTTTTTTAGGCAAGCAGCTGAATGTCGGTCTCAGCAGGCTGAAATCAAGGTGTTGGCCAGTGAGGCTTCCTTCCTGGAGGTTTTAGGAGCAAGAGCTTCTTTGCCTTGTCCAGCTTCTAGATGCTGCCACCATCCCTTGCCCTGAGGATTAATTCCACTTTCAAGGTCAGCAATGTGGTGCTGGGGCCTTTGCACTTGGTATCACGCCAACCTCTTCTTCCCACATCCCATCTCTTTCTCTGACCTTGACTCCACTTCTGTTCATTCTTCTATGTCTAAAAATCCCTTGTGATCATACTGAGCCCAGCTAGATAGTCTGAGATTATCTCCATCTCAAGGTTGGCTGATTAAAAAACTGAATTCTGACTCCAATTTTCATTTTTCCTTGCCATGTAACATACCAAATTCCCAAGGACCAGGATTAGGATACAGACAGCTTTGGGGGCAGGGGCTCTTATTCTGTCTACCCTCCCCTTCCCTCATCGGAGATTTAATTGAGGGACAGAATTTGGGTTCTTGAACTGGATTAGTAAAGTTAGCTGGTTTGGGCAGAATTGCAGATGCTGTTTCTTGGATAAATGTTCAGGAACCTCACCTCTAACCTGAGCATCTTTGTTCAGAGCAGGTCTGGGTCTGCAGGAGCTTGTGCCACAGAATCAGGTCAGGACCTAAATGCTCAGTTGATAGATTTCCCAGGAGACTCTCGTAAGTGAGCACTGCTCTTTGATTCTAGTATGAATACAGTCATCCTAACAAAGGGGAAACTGACGTTTACTGAGACTATATACTCTTTGGTGCTAGTCAAGGAATGCGCTACTATTATTATTATCTTTATCATGATCATTAATCTTGCAAATGATTACACTGTGTGAACAGTGGTAATTTACCCAGCATATTTGCTTTTGAGTTAAGCTTTAGCATCCCACTATTTCACAGTTGAACCAAAAAGTAGCACACATTCAAATTGTAGGGTGTAGAGAGCCTAAACTGAAGTCAACACCATGAAAAGTGGAAGAGACAGCTTGCTTTTCTCTGCACGTTCAGCACATTTAATTTTTTTCTTGTGGCCAGCTGACATTACAGAGATCTTAATATTATCTCAAAGGTTGGAGGTCATTTGGAAGCATGGAAGAAGGACACAGTCAGGGCATCTGCACTGAAATCCCCTCTATAGAGTGAAGTAGTTGAGAAACGAACCTCAGTGGGGTTCTCAGATTACTTCTGTTTTGAATTAGTCCTTCCAATCTGGCTGGTAAAATGCAAACAAGGTGGCAGGGAGGTTAAATGAATTTATTTAAGTTCAGAAATAGAGGGGTTTTCGAAACGGATATTCATATCTAGTATAAGTCGTCATGGATTTTTTACCCTTGCCAATCCTTGCCTTTTCTGGGGCCAAATGTAATGTCTGACATGTAGAAATATTCTGTTTAGAAGAAAATGGCATTGAAGTGCAATAGCTGTCTAATTTCTTGCCTCTTTTTTTTGGTAAATGGACATTTTGTTACTGGACCAAGCATGGGGGAGGAAGACTCTCACAGGGATTCTGCTGCTGTGGGTCATGCGGCTGTTTATAAAGTCATAGGAATGCAGGGCTGCAAGGGCATCCTCAGGGAACACTCCCTGACACCACCGGTGATCCAGAAGGGGGCTTCTTAAGGCTTGGTGTTGGGGGGAGTAATTCACAATGGATGTTGAATGCTCACTTGTATTTTCTAAAAATAGTATTTTCAGCAGACACCCACTGCCATCCCTAACACAGGAAGGTGAGTAGGGCAATTCCAGTTGGTGCTGAAATCTTTTAAAAATGAAAGTAATATAGAAAAATAAGGAAAAAGGAGAAGGAAGAACAAGGAGGAAGAAATGGGAGAAAAGGAGGGAAAAATAGTATTTCTCCTAAACAATTACTGGAGGAAAACAGTAGTTTGGCAAGATTTGAACATCACAATGTTGAGTTCTGCTATTAATTTTTCTTCTAGGATAAGAAAACACTGCAGATATATATATATATTTTTTTGGTCAGGATTTTATACCTTTATTTATTTTTTTAATTTTTTTTTATAATAAATTTTATTTTTATATTCCCCATACAATTGCAACCCCCCATTCTGACCCCAATCCCTCCCCTCCCACCCCTCCCACCCCCCCAAAAAGTGTCTCTGGTTCATAGTTTTTTGTTGATTTTGATTTTCACTTTCTTATAGTTATTCATTTTCCTGGTCCCTTATTTAAGTTTTCTAGATTCCTACTATGAGTGAGACCATCCGGCATTTTTCTTTTTCTTTCTGGCTTATTTCGCTGAGCATGATCCCTTCCAGCTCCATCCATGTTGCTGCAAATTGCATGTGTTTATCTTTTTTGAATGCTGAGTAATATTCCATGGTGTATATGGACCACATCTTCTTGATCCAGTCATCTATTTTTGGGCATTTGGGTTGTTCCCAAAGCTTAGCTATTGTAAACAGTGCTGCTATAAACATGGGTGTGCAGGTGCTCTTTGGAATATTAAAAAAACTAGCAACAACAAATGTTGGCAAGGTTGTGGAGAAAAAGGAACTCTCCTGCACTGTTGGTGGGAGTGCAAACTGGTCCAACCACTATGGAGAGCTATGTGGAGATTTCTGGACCTACTAAACATAGAGCTTCCATATGATCCAGCAATTCCACTCCTAGGTATTTACCCAAAGGACACAGAAACACTGCAGATATTTGAACACAGATTCAATTGTGACTGCATTTGAATAACAGGGAAACAAGTGAATGGGGGGTGATCTGCTTTGACCTGGGGGGCAGGGAACTCTCACCTGTGTGTGGTGAATGTGGCGTGCTCAGCAGAGAGGACTTCTTTTCATCAGCGACACTGCATGATGTGTCACTGAGCTTCTGTGTTGGGGATAATGGATTGTCCTCTTGTATGGAGCAGATTTCCTTTCTAGTTATTGACCCAAATATAGAACTGGTCATCTTTTGGTTACATATCTCACCAGGATCTTGACTGATAAAAAAATGCAAGTTGGCTAGCAGGCATGCTGAGTTTCTCTCCTCTCTCTCTCTTTTTTAAAAAGATTTATTTATTTATGCTTATAAGAACTTGGGTACAGACCAGAGGTGTGGGGGGGCAGTGAGAGGATTCCCCAGAGAAAGTGGGGAACAGAACAGGCACATCTACTGAAATACACTACTGAGGGGCACAGCGGGTGAGACTGGAGAGGTCAGCTGAGCCATGTGGGTCAGCTCCCTGGCTGGGGATTGAACTCAGGCCACCGCAGTGGGCCATCATGGTGATAGCACTGAGACTTAAGCCCTAGGCCACCAGGAAGGCCCCAGTCCTATATATCCTCTGGATAATGAACTTGCACCTCCTAACTGAAACCTTGAGGGCAAGATACTAATGTAGTTTTTTTCCTAAATTCTCTTAAGTTTCTATTGAATTTTGGGGGGAGGAAGGTGTAATGTCAAAAAAAAAAGTCTCCAACATTCTTCTTGCTGTGTATTGGGGCTCCCTCCTCACTATGCTGGCTCACTCTGGAAGAAGACTTCAAAAATGGTAGCCCCCAGCCAACCACCTCGTTTGTGTCTAAGTAGTATTTTCCTGTAATTTGGCTTATCGCCAGAAATACAATTGATGGAAGCAACACAGAAGTGCCTCAGTGACTACTTACCTCAAAGCTTCTCAAAATATAGATGGTGAAAGACCAGGTCTCATTCTGTCTTTCCAATCAGGTAACAGAGCCCTGTCCATATCCCCACCCAATTAAATTCATCCTCCTTGGACTAACTCCTGGGAACGAGGGAGCAGAGCTGGGTGAGCAGGGAAAGTTCTATGACATGGAAGGCAGGTGGGCTCTGGAGAGACTCCTGGAGTAGAAGGGTACGCTTTTTTCTTGGCTTTGGTTTTGCACCGGCGACTTAGGGGCCTTGGAGGAGACACTTGGAGAGGCTGACAATGGCAGGCATTATCTTGATTTGCACTTTGATTTTGCTCCTTTCACCCCAGACTTGCCTGGCCCCTTTTGACCCCTTCCCCTAGGTGACTTGGACTTGTGGCAAGTTTTTAGGGCTCAGCAAGCCAGCTTCAGGCCAACCCTGTTTGGCTGGGCCCTTAGCCATGAGGAGATGAGTAAATTTGGGTATTTAATTGGGAAACTAATATCCTCTCTTTCCTCTCTATGAACACTAGTTCTATTAAAGTTCTTTCACACAAAATGTCTCCTTTGTATTTGTGCACACAGATGGCCAGACCCCTTTAGAGTGTGCAAGTTTGAGGGTCCTAGGGTACTCCTTGGTTACATGCAAGCAATCTGACAAAGACTGATATTTTGGTAAGATACAATAAAATGAATGAATTTTAAACAATAGCGGAGTGAATAAAATATGTTGCTATAGAAGCAAGGAAAGAAAAGACATACAAATAAAAGTCTGTTGATAAGGTACTTGGATTTCGAGGCAAATCAATTCACTAAAAAGTTTCTAAATACTTCCTTTTTCAATTTCCACGCTTACGTCACTGGGCAGATAATAAACAGCTTGGAAACCAGGAACAACCTCAGGAACAAACTTTGGGTAACACTCCCTTGCTAGGAGACGGGTTGAGTTCTACTCTCCAGACAAACTAACGTCCCAGCTGAGTCACATGATGGAACCAGAACTGAGGGCTTCTCAGGGTGATTTGTGAAGGAATTTTCTCTAACAACCCAGATTGCACCTTTTCTGCCATCCAGTTAAGTACCCTGAAAGAAGGGATTGTTTTATGGCTTCCTTTGATTAGGGACTGTTGTGCTCAGAGCATACCTTTCTCTGGATTTCCAGTTTCATCTTGCTTAAAATGCTTGAATTCAAGAATTTAGAGAATTTGGCAAAGATCCCAAATTCCTCTTGTGTTTCTCCCATGTGACACAAGGACAAATATGCAGCTGAGTATCAGAAAGAATGAGGGTAAATAGTTCCCTGGGGGCACATATGTAAATCGAGCTTCAATAACAATCCTGGGTTACATTAATTAGCATTCATATATAGATAATGAAATTTCTGGACAGAGGGAACAATTGCACAATTTTAATACAGGAACCTACTTGTCTCCCTATATGTGGAAACATTGAAAAATGAAGACAATAGTAACAAAACCTGTTAATAAGCAAGCTAGTACTTAGAGTTTCGTTCTGCAAAAC